AGAAGATCTCCATATACCCCATATTCTATCTACTGAAGGGGGACGATATGGGGTTTATCGGGTTGAGGGGTTAAAGTTTGTGCCGAGAAGGTTTAGGGATCACAGTCCAGGGGTGTTGGAATCGCCCTAGCACCAATTCACAAAACCACAACAATTTGTAAGCTGCCTAGATTTGAAGACCCCCAAAAGGCTTTTCTCAAGAAAGCTACTGTAAACAAGCCCTTCTTCAGGGTTCCCTTGATGATTTTTCTAGGCTCCTGTTTAGGGTCGAGAGAGAGAAAGAGAGAGAGAGAGAGAGAGAGACAGAGAGAGATGGGGAGGACATGGGAGTTGGGAGGCATCATCAGGTGCATCAGCATGCATAGACGTCAGTCAGTGTCATCAGGCTGTGGGCATCAGGCCCCATGAGCAGGTAAGCGTTGATCTAACCCTAAACCCTCAGCCGTTTAGTAATTTCCATTTTTCCATTGTCCCTATAAAGCTCGAATATACCCTAAACCCTAAAGTCCGCATAAACGGGTGAGTGTTGATTGGTCATGCTATCGCTAGCTAGCTTTTTAGGTTTCTGCGGTCTGAAGTGCCAAGCCCCAAACAACTCTGTACAACCTTGTCTAAATTCCTATACAACCCCTTTAGATCCTTAAACTTAAAACCTCTAAAGTCTCTGTAAACGCTATATAACTCCTGTAAACCCTATATAACCCATGTATAATCCCTACTACAATTCTAAAACCCATATAATCCCTGTACCTTCTGAAGGTTGGAAGTCTCAACCCCTAAACCACAAACCGTGCGCCTCATCGCCGGCATCCTTAGCTTCAGCTTGCTCCTGGCAACGTTGCGGTAGGTTGAGGGTTCAGGGTTTAGGGTTTAGGGAGGGTAGGTTTAGGGTTTAGGGTTCAGGCTAGGTTTGGGTGTCCTAGAAAAATCTAGATTATCTTTGTTTTTTTGTGCATTTACAGAGGTTATGAGATTAACATTTGGTCAAAGCTACCAATGAATCGGTTGCATGGGTCATAGGACGGATACTCAGCACTGCTCTTTTTCAGAAATTTGAGGCCACGTTTTGGGAATTAGGTTTCTAGGAGACCTTTCTCGCTCAACTCCTCTCAGAATTTCTTAGCCGCTAACCACTACCTGAAACATTCCTGGCAGTCACATTCACACCGCGCATGGTAAGGCTATCATTGAGTAGGGGGTCCCGCCCCCATCCTCGGAGGTCCCCACAGCACGTGGGTGCCACGTGCTGTTTGCTGAAGCGGCAGCTTGGCGGAGGTTGATGCTAGCATAGACCGCACGCAGTCCCCGTCCCAAAGAAGCAGCTGCCAAATCCTAGCCTTCGGTACTTTTGATAAGTGAGTGCCCCGCAATATTTACTCTGGCCTTCTTGGATCCTTCCTGGGGGCATACCGGTAGCTCATGCCCATGCGAGACTAGAAGGAAACTTATTGGACGCATATTCTGATTGCAACAAGTCCTTTACCCTTAACGGATTGTACTCGAAGCTAGGGAGGTGCATTTCCATCAGAATCATTTCGTCAGGTGACCACCGTCATGGGCCATGGACATGGCCCTGCTTCATGCAAGATATCCCGAGGTAGTTCACAAACCCATGTGTCCTAGTCAGAAGTGGCCAAGTGCAAAACACTGTAGAGCCGACATGGATTGGCATGGAATGCGCGCCTGGAAGCACGCCAGCTGCCTCTCAGGATCGTTGAGCTCTGTGTAAGCGTTGCAGAGCTCCTGTCAAAGTGGGCTACCTAGATTTGGCACCTAGCCGTGTCACCCAATGAAATCTAATGAATACCTGTCTGCTGTTTACGTCTGCTACAATGCAATGCACCAACGACATGGATGATGCAGACTTAAAGCCGTCTGCTCCTAAATAACTACCCAACATGAGCAAGGAGATTCAAAACCAGACCTGCCTATCAACATGCCAAGTCATTTTTCAGGACGCCTTGCAATTAAACTCGGCGAGAAATCAAGCGTCTTCAAGGAAACTCAGACCCCACCCGGCGCATTCCCTTTTCCGAGCTCCATACAGAAATGTGCTCTCCAGCTAGTGTACTCGTGGTTGCTTGCTCCATCTGGCAGGGGGGCGAGAGGCATACAGTGCAAGCTGGCTTGCTATGCCTTGTTGATCTTCTGCGCCAGTTTCCAAAAGAATCTGCGCAGAACCAACGTGGCCTTTGGCAAATGCACGAACGAGAGCCGTGTTGCCGTCCTTGTCTTTGAACTCTGTATCTGCACAGGCCTTCACCAGCATCTCCACAATCCCAGCATGGCCTTTACTGCTTGCACGGATGAGTGCTGTGTTGCCGTCATTGTCCGTCAGATCCTTATTGGCACCAGCTTCCAGCAGTGCTTGTGCAATCAGCCAATGGCTGAGGTCGCATGCATACATGAGAGCCGTGTTGCCTAGATTATTTGCCAAATCCTTGCTAGCACCAGCCTCCAACAGCAGGCGTACAATGGCAAAGTCACCTTGCACGGCTGCTCGAACCAGAGCTGCATCACCGTCATTGCTTTTCAAATCGATGTCTGCACCGGCATCCACCAGCAAACGCACAATCTGAACATGGCCTTTCTCGCATGCACGAATGAGAGCTGTGTTGCCGAGATTGTTCGCCAAATCCATGTCTGCACCAGCCTCCAGCAAGACACGTACAGTGTCGGCCTGGGCCTGTTCACATGCAACGAGGAGAGCCGTGTCCCCGCGATTGTTCTGCAAAGCTGTGTTGGCTCCAGATTCCAAAAGCAGGGGCACAATCCCAGCCCTACTGCTTGCACATGCATGCAGAGCTGTGTCTCCAGTCCTCGTCTTCCAGTTCACGTCCGCGCTGGCCTCCATAAGCATATGAAAAACCTCCAGGTGGCCCTCGCTCAATGCATCAAAGAGAGGCAGGCTATCAACATGGTTCAATTCCTGGTCAGCGCGAGCATCAAGAAGCACACGTACAACTTCCACATGGCCTTTGGCACACGCGCGACTGAGAGCTGTACGCACGGAACGGGTTTTCAAGTTGACCTTAGAACGAGCTTGCAAAAGCACACGCACGATGTCGACATGGCCCTTATTGCATGCACAGATAAGAGCCGTGTCTCTGTCTTTGTTCTGCAAAAAAGGGTACGCACGAGCTTCTAGAAGTAATCCTGCAATCTGAACATGGCCCTGGTCGCATGCACGGATAAGAGCTGTGTTGTCCATGCCGTTCTGCAAATCCTTGTCCGCGCCAGCCTTCAAAAGGATGCGCGTCATCTCAACGTGGCCCATCTCGCACGCACATATGAGAGCTGTGTTGCCAGCATTGTTCGCCAAATCCTTGTTGGCACCGGCCTTCAAAAGAACGTGGACAATCTCAGCCTGGCTCTGTTTACAAGCAACGATGAGAGCTGTGTCGCCATCAACGTTCCGGACATCTTTAAGACTTGATCCTGCAAGGAAGCGCGCTGCTTCAATATTGCCTGTGGCGGATGCGTGCATCAGCACGTCTTCGAACGCCTTCAACCCCTCACGGGAGGCAGCCAGCACCAGCTGCACATCACAGGGGGCATCAAGCTCAGCAGCATCATCCAGTATACAGCCATTCTGCACAAGCTGTAACAGGTATACAGGCACGCCATAGTGAGATAGCAGCTGGTCCTTCAATTCCTGCACAGTCTTCACATCTCCAACTGCTGCAGCGAATAGCTCTTCGCCTGAAAGCCTCAAGACACGGATCATCTTGGCCCATGGACTGACATGAAAGTTTCTCAACCTAGATGACGAAGCATATCGCAAATAGAGGCCCCCCTGAAGGATAAAAGGAGGGAAGTATTGAGCTCCTCACTCACAGTTGGAGCGCCCGAGCTAAAGCCAAAAGAGCCGAATGGAATTCTGTGCTGGCTGAGGCTTCCAAGGTTCAGGAGTGGGATGGGTGTTTCCCTTAACAGTAACAGTCCTTTCCATGCCTACAAATGGTTAAAGCATAACCATTAGCATGTGCAATCCCCACAGTAATATTTCGGTACTCTGACCTTCTCAGGGTTCAGGGTTCACAAATCTGCCCGCGTGAGCCAATACTACTTTGGGGTTAGTAGCGTTGAGGCTGTCTGCCTCAGCGCTCAGAGTGCAATAGTTCGGCAAAAATCTGGCGGCACTCTTGTGAATCTTGGTCTAGTTTCTTGGGCATCCCAATCATGGTGCTGACATCGCTGCTGTATAGGCAGACCTGCCAACTTGAGAAACCTGCCATTTGAAGAGAGTTGGCACCAGAGCAAACCACAAAACACCACTTGACCCCAACAAATTCGGAACTATTGAAGATTTCTCAAAGCATTCGAGGTTACAAGAAGATTCTGGGGGGCTGCTTGTAAGGCTTGTAAAGGAGCCACTTGGAACCTCCACTTCTTTCTGACCGAAGAGAGTTGCCAAAGTGCAACATCAAAGAAGTGTCCCTGATGCCGCCACCTGCGTCATGAGATACATACTGAGCTCCTAACTGATCGTGTTGGCATCCTGAACCCTTGAGCTTCAGCCAGCACCTAGCACCATGTAGCTAGTGTACTCCGCTTGCTCTCAAGCTGAACCTAAAGATTTGGATCGGAACGCTGATCTCTGATGAATCAAGTATCGCCATGAGCTGGAATATCAACGTGGTAGCTACAGCAAAACAATTCTTAGACAAGGACACCCGCAAAAGAAGCCCGCTCCCCTGGAAACTGCCAGCTTCTGATGGACAATCACCCCCCCGCCTCCAACCCCCACAAATTCTTCAGGATCTTAGTAGGCATTTAAGGAGTATATTCCCTTGTTCCCCACTAAGCACCAGTAAACAGCTCTCTTCCCCATCCCTCTACCCCAGCCATCAGCCCCAAGTTCCAACGCGGAGGCCTTGCCCATAACGAAGAGCTCAAATCGCTCCGTAAGGCCCTCTTTGCCTGGGTTGCTGTTAAGGAACTGAAATCAAGTTACCATAATGGGTATATATATATATAATAGAGTAGGGTTTCCCAGATACAGTAACTTAAATTAAGTTCCGTAACAGCAACCCAGTTGCTGCGATGCCATTTGGCCAGAGGGCTCATGACCTGCCCCAGAATATATCTACAGGGATTATAGGGATTATATTGCCTTAGTCCACAGTAAGTAGAGGGTTCAGGATCAGGTTTGTTATACAGGGATTTATAGGGATAATGGAAAATAACATGGAAACTGCTATATTGGGATTATACAGGGGTTCTATAGGGGTATATGAGGTCCATGTAAGTGCTAGGATTATGTTCTTTGCAGCCAAACGTGTGTTGCGAACAACGCCCCAAGGCAGACCATGCCCAGGTGCCATATTTAACCAAATGCCCCAAATGACAAGAAACAGCCGCACACAGCCGTCATCACAAATCCCCATGGCTTCTAATCTAGGGTTTAAGACTCATTGCTTTGGTTTTGGCTTCCGGCGGTTTATGCCAAGCGAAACACAACACATGCGCCGCGCGTTTGTCAAGCTGCAACCTCTTCGGGCTTCAAGCAAGAGGAAATAAGCATCATTCTGCATCTTGACGATATGCCAAAGTAAGCTCCGAGTATCGTCCTTTTCTAGGTATTCCACATGTTCCCGCCAAACATTTATGAATCTTCCATCCCCCCTGTTTGAAGGGCCTGAGGGTTGGTAAGGTCGGGTCGCTCATTAACTACCCGATGCCGGATTCTCTCTCGATCAACGCATTTGCACCCAAAACAAATGAAGCATGATAACGGTTACGGGGAAGGCTGGGTCAGAGAAGATTGGCATCGGATGAGGATCGTTGTTCGCTTCCGTTGTTGCTGTGATGTCCGCCGTCACCACCATGACGAAGCGGTCGACGTCAACTACTCCTGCTCCTCCTACCCCTACTCCTACTCCTCCTGCTACTATTACTAGCCGCCCCCCCCCTAGGGCCTACACTTTACTTAAAATGGTATATAAATTCCCCGAGGAATCGTCCAGTAACAATAGTAACGTTAATGTGGCGACTGCTGCCCGGACCTAGCAAGCGTGG